GAAATACAAAACCTTCGATAATTCAGAAAATATTAATGCTAATTTATTCAAAATTGATGCTTGCAACAATTCTTTACCAATAAAAACGTTTATGGTTAAATTATGGAAAATGGGCGTGGCACCGCCCACTTATGATCACATATATGTATATCGGTAACCGTTATACCACTTTGTACCAAACTCGGTATTTTTTATTATCCTTGCCACATAAAAGCAAAACGTTGAAAATTATTGAAATCGAACTAAAATTACGGCCGCTTTTCATATAACGGTAAATTTCAGAAATGCTTGAAACTGGCATATCTCGAAATTTAAGGACGCTAATTTATTCGAAATTGATACACCCGGTCGTACCATCTAGAGGTAGCTTTCGGAAAGGTGAAAAAACATACATTTAATACTTGCGCCGGGTATTTAATGTTCGGCTCCGCCCGAACCTAGACTTTCTTACTTGTTTCTATATATGTTGCTGCATAACTTTGGACCACGTCAACCGATTTCGATATTTCTTTTGCATCGGAAAGTTAGTGTCCCAGAGGTGGTCCCATACTAATCTGGTTTAGATCTGATCGTTGGATCATGAAATATATATATATATATATATATATATATATATATATATATATATATATATATATATATATATATATATGAGAATATATATTTATATGAGAATTGAAGTCGGTTTTGTTTTTTTGCTTAAAAAATTACTTGTTCTATTTAATGTTTATAAATTTTGTATAAAAGTGTCTGGCACATTACGTTACATATCGAGATAGATATAGATAAATGTATACATAAATGTTCAGAATGAATAGAGAAATCGATTAAGCCATGTCTGTCTGTCCGTCCGTCTGTCCGTCTGTCCGTCTGTCCTTGTACACGATAACTCGAGCAAAAATTGAGATATCGCAACGAAATTTGGTATGTAGGTTTCTGTTAATCCAAGGTAGGTTGGTATTGAAAGTGGGCGATATCGGACTGTAACCACGCCCACTTCCCATATAACGGTGATTTCCAGAAATACGAAAACTGCGATATTTTAGTAACTAATAAAGATAATTCACTCAAAATTGATATCTACAATAATTTTCAGACAAAAAATAAGAAAATTATAAATTTTTGGAAAATGGGCGTAGCCACGCCCACTTATGGTTACATGTGTATATCTTAGAGAAATACGAAATCTTCGATAATTCAGTAAATATTAAAGTTAATTTATTCAAAATTTACGCTTGCAACAATTCTTTACCAAAAAATACGTTTATGGTAAAATTTTGAAAAATGGGCGTGGCACCGCCCACTTATTATCACATATATGTATATCGGTAACCGTTCTACCAATTTGTACCAAACTCGGTATGGTTATTGTGCTTGCCACATAAAATCAAAGCGTTGAAAATTATTGAAATCGGACTAAAATTACGGCCGCTTTTCATATAACGGTAAACTACAGAAATGCTTGAAACTTCAATATTTCGAAATTTAAGGAAGCTAATTTACTCAAAATTGATACACCCCGGCTTATAATGTAGCGGTAGCTTTCGGAAAGGTGAAAAACATATATTTATTTAATACTTGCGCCGGGTATTTAATGTTCGGCTCCGCCCGAACTTAGACTTTCTTACTTGTTAATAATATTTTTTTTTGCTGACAGTGATAGGCATTTTCTTCCATATAACGGGTGATTTTTTTGAGGTTAGGATTTTCATGCATTAGTATTTGACAGATCACGTGGGATTTCAGACATGGTGTCAAAGAGAAAGATGCTCAGTATGCTTTGAAATTTCATCATGAATAGACTTACTAACGAGCAACGCTTGCAAATCATTGAATTTTATTACCAAAATCAGTGTTCGGTTCGAAATGTGTTTCGCGCTTTACGTCCGATTTATGGTCTACATAATCGACCAAGTGAGCAAACAATTAATGCGATTGTGACCAAGTTTCGCACTCAGTTTACTTTATTGGACATTAAACCAACCACACGAATGCGTACAGTGCGTACAGAAGAGAATATTGCGTCTGTTTCTGAGAGTGTTGCTGAAGACCGTGAAATGTCGATTCGTCGCCGTTCGCAGCAATTGGGTTTGTGTTATTCGACCACATGGAAGATTTTACGCAAAGATCTTGGTGTAAAACCGTATAAAATACAGCTCGTGCAAGAACTGAAGCCGAACGATCTGCCACAACGTCGAATTTTCAGTGAATGGGCCCTAGAAAAGTTGGCAGAAAATCCGCTTTTTTATCGACAAATTTTGTTCAGCGATGAGGCTCATTTCTGGTTGAATGGCTTCGTAAATAAGCAAAATTGCCGCATTTGGAGTGAAGAGCAACCAGAAGCCGTTCAAGAACTGCCCATGCATCCCGAAAAATGCACTGTTTGGTGTGGTTTGTACGCTGGTGGAATCATTGGACCGTATTTTTTCAAAGATGCTGTTGGACGCAACGTTACGGTGAATGGCGATCGCTATCGTTCGATGCTAACAAACTTTTTGTTGCCAAAAATGGAAGAACTGAACTTGGTTGACATGTGGTTTCAACAAGATGGCGCTACATGCCACACAGCTCGCGATTCTATGGCCATTTTGAGGGAAAACTTCGGAGAACAATTCATCTCAAGAAATGGACCGGTAAGTTGGCCACCAAGATCATGCGATTTGACGCCTTTAGACTATTTTTTGTGGGGCTACGTCAAGTCTAAAGTCTACAGAAATAAGCCAGCAACTATTCCAGCTTTGGAAGACAACATTTCCGAAGAAATTCGGGCTATTCCGGCCGAAATGCTCGAAAAAGTTGCCCAAAATTGGACTTTCCGAATGGACCACCTAAGACGCAGCCGCGGTCAACATTTAAATGAAATTATCTTCAAAAAGTAAATGTCATGGACCAATCTAACGTTTCAAATAAATTTTATGCGTTTTTTTTAAAAAAAAAGTTATCAAGCTCTTAAAAAATCACCCGTTAAAAGAAATTGTCGAGCATACACCGTCAGCCAAAATTATCTTAGCACCTTAGCCAATGTGCTATAAATCTGCATACCTAAAATTTGTATAAAAATTCTGAATAAGAAGTTTAAAATTTTTGAGTGAAATTGTTAAAGTTTGTTGAATTTTGATAATTTCTGTACGAAGTTTTAAATGTGGATTTATGTGGTGCTGGGTTTGTAATGTACCACACTTTTACAAAAAATTATAAAAAATTAAGTAGACAAAAGAAAAGTAGCCAAAACTGGTCAAAATATCACTTAACTTAATCGGCTGACCAAAAGTGTAAATGTACAAGATGTTATTGCCAGCTATTTCGCCGCTGATATCCAATATTCTTCTTGGCAAGGAGAATTTATACAAGGTGGTGTTACTGGCGAATTTAGATTTTCGCTGCAGTACTTCTGAATGTCAAAATAATGTGTTTGTTGTAAGTCAGGCGACTTCATGTTACAACAAAGACATCATTTTGACATTAAGAAGTACCGCGGCGAATATCTAAATTCACCATTAACACCACCTTGTATAAATTCGCCTTGCTTCTTGGTTTTAGAGTGCTACCATGTTGATTAAGTAAGAACACATGTGTAATATCCGTTATTATATAGCGACCACGCCCACAATGACAGTAGTAATACCTACCATAACGCCTACTATGATTCATAATATATAGGAACACATCAGAACACGATTTTATCTGAGCTTGCATCCCAACATACAATTTAGGCATCTTTCGATGTTGATACGGTAAAAGGAAATTTCTGTTCTGCCCGCTGTGCCTAATTAATTTTCGGTTATTATGTGCATAAAGCAGTGCAGCAAGAAATCATAGAGTTTTAGAACGATTTCTCAAAAAACGAGGGAGATTTGAATATTTAAACTCAAAATAGGCCTACTTAGGTCCAATTGCCCATCTTAGGGTTAAGGAAGCATTTATGATGCTCCAATTTACAGCATGAATACATATACATTAGACTGCATCACCAAAAAAAGTTGCGGTTTTTCCGCCGGGTTCACAAAATTTATTATATTTTAAGAAGTCCACCAAAATATTTCGGAAAAATATTAAGATTTAAGCGAGCTGCACCGATTTGAAAATACCTCCAAAAATGGAGTTTTTTTATTAATAAAAATAGTTTCTTAAAGAACTTTTTGAAAAAAGTCCCCTCAGATGACAAAACAGATTAGGCTTAAAAAATCTGTATAAAAATATTCAAAAATCTTTTCAACGGAATCGTAATAATGAGATTTTTGATGCTGTTTTCAAATTTTTTTCAAAGATTGCTTTACGAAAAACTTAAATAACTGGGCCAGAACTATTCTGATTTAGATTTATGGGATTTCGGTAGAAAGGTATTTTCCCACTATTCTTATTTATGTGCAAAAAAAGTCATTCGTGTCCCAATTTTTATTTATTTTTTTTCAAATACGAACTCATCTTAATTCAACTTTGAATGATGTTCGTTCATCCTACCTTTCTCTTTCATCCATTGAATGAGTTTATTAGCAAAGAAATAAAAAGGGTGAGAAAATACCTTTCCAATGATACCTCACAAGTCTAAATCTGAAGAGTTTAGGTACAAGTTATTCAAGTTTTTCCTATACCAATCTTTGAAAAAAGTTAAAAAAACAGCATCAAAAATCTCATTATAGCGATTCCGTTCAAAATTTTTTTTTATTTTTATGTAAATTTTTTAAGCTTAACCCATTTTGTCATTTGAAGGGTTTTTTCAAAAAACATCTTTAAGAAACTATTTTTATTCATAAAAAACTCTATTTTTGGAGGTATTTTCAAATCGGTCCAGCTCGCTTAAATCTTGATATTTTTCCGAAATATTTTGGAGGAAGTCTCAAAATATAATAGATTTTATAATTCCAATGGAAAAACAGTACCGATTTTTTTTTTGTATGGGGAGTGATGCAGTCTAATATACATACATATATGTATCTATGTACAAAAAATTTTGTAAAGACAACTCATTTTAATATTTATTTCCATTTTAAATATTCTAGTATACTTGTTTAAGTCACTCGCTCTATGAGCATCAGGCGAATGTAAGACATCATTTTGCTTTTCACGAAGATTCGGAATGGTTTCCGTTCCCCTTCCAACGCGCTGGTATTGTCTTTTCAAGAGCTTTAGTAACGTAAGTATGAATCAAACACTAAAACAAAAAGTATTAACAAATACCCTGTAGGGAAAAACTATTCAATCGAATTTTGAGCTCAGTACTAGTCTTTTACCGCCGAAAACGATCCAGTATGATAATAACTAGATCCTCACCTAAATTGATTTTGAATTAACGAAAAGGGGATGCAGCGGGGCAGTGGCGGATACGGAGGGTGGCTATGGCTATATCACGAAATCTTTTAACATAGATCATTTTCATTTCATTTTATTTATTTATTCATAAGTTGTACAAATTAAGACTAAGTCTTTTGCCTGCACATACATTTTTTATTATCAATACATATTTATTTTGTGAATATCTTAAAATCTAATATTATTTTAAGGGTGATTTTTAAGTAAGGGCACCATAAGGATAAGGTTAAGTTATTTTCATTATATAACTTATAGAGTTAGTTAGATTAATCAATAGTGAGAGATGAAATATGAAAATGTTCGAGGAGGCCCAACTTAAAGCAATGAGGCTGTTTTAACATTTTTGTAGCTAGGTAGTGCATTCCACAGCACCACTGCACTAACAAAGAACATGCGGGATGAGACCCTTGACTTGTGTAAAGGGATAATGAGGTTGCAGGTACGAGTAGATACGGCAAATTTTAACTTCGTAAATATATACATCAGAGTACGGGAGTTTACCAACTTGTTCAAAAACAGAAGATTTCGAAAACTAAGGTATGTGGCGAGATCACAGCCCAGAATATTTCTCGAGAAGGAGGATATATGGTCATAGTTTCTTTTTAAATAAACGTATCTAGCCGCATAATTTATGGCGAGCTGTAGCTTTCTCCGGGAGTCAAAATCCATGCTGCCATAAACCACTTCCCCATAGGTAATTAATGGAACAATCAACGTTTTAACAATATTTAATTTTACATCTTGAGACAGATATGCAGCTGAGAACCAAAGTGGTCTAAGAACATTATATATTTTTCCTATAGTCTAGTTTACATGATCAGAGCAATTAAGTCTGCTATTTAGTTTAAATCCCAGGTTTTTGACAACAGTTTCATACTCAATGTTTTCGTTATTTAAAACAATAGGTGTGATGTCACTTAGGTTGTAGCGGAGACTAGAAATCGGTAGTGCCTTCGTTTTAGAAGCATTTAAATACAGCCTGTTTTCCTTCGTCCATTCGTAAATGCGGTTGAGATCATCGTTAATATACTTTATCAGGTCTCTCAGAAGATGAGTCGGTTTAGAAAGGTATATTTGAGTGTCGTCAGCATAAAGATGCATTTTTGTATTTTGACAGCAATGCACAATGTCATTCACAAACAAGCTGAATAATAGAGGCCCGAGAATAGAGCCCTGAGGTACACCTGCGGGTATTCTACTCAAAGAGGAGATCTTTTTACTGCATTGAACTTGCTGAAAACGATCACTCAAATAGCATCGTAAAAATTTTACACTGGTATCACTAAAACCAAAATGATGTTTAAGTTTGAGAAGTAATGGCACTATATAACAACAAACCATTCAATGCTTTACGTTGGCTAATCACATACAACACACAAGAGATAGAAGAGTAATAAAAGTATGATAGGTAAAAGAAGGAATTGCAGTAGCACAGAGAACGCAAGGAAGAGAATAAGAAGTACAAACTCATGATCGCTAGCATAAGATTATATACATATATATGTATATACAATGTAATTATACTTAACTAGAGTGCCAGTTACTGTCGAAATTCGACAGTTTTTCTAGTTTTAGAAGCCTTGGAGAAGTTTTCTAACTTAACACGTAGCCATACTTATACGGTACAAATTAACTATCCGGAAAATCGTCTGCTAAAACGTAACAATTTTTTTTTCTTTATCTGAGAAGGTGTTTGGAGGACTTCGGCAGGACTTGGCATTGACCCGATACATTCAAGTTTATCGATAAATTTCGATGATTTGATACATATCGATAGTTCGATAAATTTCAAGAACACTAAAATTCGATAACTCAACAAAATTCGGTAACTCGACCAATTTCGATAACTGTGAAGTTCGATGGCTCGATAAATTTCGATAACTCAAAAATGTAAAAACTTTGGACACCTTTATAAATATTTACTTTTGACATCTCCACATTTTTCGAAAACTATCTAAACATTTTGAAAACTCGCTACACTCTGTTAAGACAATTAAATTCGATAAGAAGTGATAAATCGATAAGCTTATATAACCTTGAAATTTCGATAAATGGATATATTTTGAAAATTCCATAAACTTTGCTTTGTTGAACCAACCAATTTCAGTAGATCAATAATTATCGATAAATCTGAAGTTGAAAGAAGTCCATGCATTACGACACCTCGATATATTTAGTTAAGTCTATAAATAATGATAATTCAATAAATATCGATAACTTGATACATTTCGTTAACTTGACAAATTTCGTTAATCCCACACGTTATAGCTTGATAACTATTCGTAAATTTGGACAGTTGGACAGTGGTAAGTTTCTGTGTCTATAAAATTCGACAACTCAGTAAACATTGATCAGTTTGAATAATTCGATACGTTGCGATAACTTAATAAGCATGGATAAATTTCGATAATTATAAACTTCGATGATTCGATAAATTTCAGTAACCTTTATGGCTGATTTTATTTCGATTCCTATCTTTTAACCTAATTCTTATGTATTTCTCATTGTCTCCATTTTCGCCTTTATCTCAATTTTCGTCTTTATCTTCACTTTTGCCTTTTTTTGTCTTCATCGTTCTCACTTGTTTCTTCATCTTCATATTTATCTTTATTTCAAAGTTTATTTTCAAATACGAAGTAAAACAAAATGCGAAACAGCTTAAATTGAACAGGTTGCAAAAACAACCATACACAAATATGGAAATTTTTAAACGACGATTTTCAACCAATTTCGAAACTATAAAAACTCTCCTCACCTACAGAAAATGACCTTTCCAACGGCGTTTTTGGTTTTGAAATCGGTAACTTTACCTTGGTATTTGTCACATTCCATGTTCCGATTACTGTATCGATAACCCTGTTGATAACTGTGTCGATAAAAATACCGATAACAATATCCAAAAACATATAGAACAATACAACGATTGTAAAATCGATTAATTTCTCGATAAATATAACAATCATCAGTATCGATTATTGTACATATCGTTAACAATATAAATGACTAAATCGATAACAAAATCAATTATTTAATCGATTATTATACCGATAACAATATCCATTATTGTATCGATAACAATATCGATTATTTTATCGATAGCAATATCGATTATTATATCGATAAAAATATCGAGTTTTATATCGATAACAATATCGATCTTCATTTTTATCTTTATTTTTGCATATTCCTCTTCACCTTTACCTTAAAGTGTTTAAATTTACTTTGATCTGCGTTTTTGCCTGTACCTCTAGGCATCCTTGTTTTTGTTTTTATTCTCAAACCGCTAAACCGCTGAGAACTATTTCCATGTGCATTATTCCCCTTGAATTTGACAATTTACTCCCAACCAACCAACTGCCGCTAAAGAAGTTTCACTTCATAAATTCAAGACATGTTCTTACCCTTTCAGTTACCCTAATTCTTATTTATCCATCATTGTCTCCATTTTCGTCTTTATCTTCACTTTTGCCTTCTTTTTTTTTGACTTCATCGTTATCATTTATTTCTTCATCATCATATTTATCATTATTTCAAAGCTTAATTTCGAATGTGAAGTGAAACAACATGCGAAGCATGTCAAATTGAACATGTTGCAGCAACATCTATACACAAATCGGAAATGTTTAAACGACGGTTTAGGCCGTAATTTTCAACCAATTGTGAAACCATAAAAACTCTGCTCATCTACGGAAAAATGCCTTTCCAACGGTGTTCTTGGTTTTGAAATCGCTCCGGTAGAATCGCCAAACGAACGGAGACAAAATTTATGTTAGCGTATTAATATATAGATATATTATTTAGCAGCAGCCACAGTACGCTCTAATGTTTCCATATTGATCACTCGCACAGCTACACTCGTCGGGTCAACTCGGACATACACATTCCATCGTATTGAAAACGCCGCCGCTAACCTCTTTTGCGTTTTCATTAATATTGCAGAGTGCATTAATTCGCGGTTGCCTTTCGTTAAACATTCGTAAACAAATAATTTTCCATCAATATTAGTTGCGTTCCTTATCTCCCAGAAATAGTCAGAAAAAGTCCGAAGTAGTCAGATTTAGTCCAAAAAGCGTTCCTTAACTCGAAAATGACAGCAAAAATGAGAGAGCAACACTCAGTGAGAGTGACTCTCTTCAGTCCGAAGTAGTCAAATTTAGTCAGAAGAATTTTTTTTGGCAAAATCCTGAAAAGTGTCAAACTCAACTGAATTTAAATTAACGGAAATTAAAGAATATACAAAAAGTGAGAACAATCTAAAAAGTAAAAAAAAGTTAATTGAAATTGGAAGGAGGCTAAAAATAATTGATATAGTAAGTGTTTATTGTGCTTGTGCTTGTGTGAATGTGTTTTGTACATACATTTCCATTCTTATTTGACGTTAGTTTTGTTGTTGCCATTCTTTGGTTTGATTTTTGGCGTTCCTTTACTTTTCCTGTTATTCTCTTTTAGTGAGCGCATTTTGCTTACGCTCTGGCATTTTGACACTTTTCAGATTAGTCCAAAAAGATAAGGAATGAACCTATTGTACCCAATATCGCGAAGCATAAGAGACCTTTTGTGCTCTTTGCTGAACTTAGCCAGTGATTTGAACAGCATAGATCGATGCTCAGCCGAGTCAAGTTTAACAATTATAGGAGCATGGATGTTGTCCAATCCTTCTTATTCGTATGGAGTTTTGCTTTGCTTTAAACACGCAAATTCTTGTATTCAAAGATTTGCGAAATACTTGAAGAAAATGGCTACACATAAAAAGTTTTTTCTCTCCTGCAAAATTAAAAAAGGACTTAGCAGCTTTGCACTCTAAGCTAGCGATATGTATTATGC